ACTTACGATCGACGAAACTCCGAGATATCTTGGGACAGCTGTAATCGTATGAATCGCCCAAAGTTCGCAGAGCCTGTTCAATCTGATTTTGCGGGAACGAAAATAATATCAAAATGGCATGACAAGCTTATGCTATAATTACATTGAATGTCATTTATCTGTGTTATATGAGAGACTATATTCTGTATCTAGACTGAAATGTTTGTACGATTTAGTTAATAAGCGTTGCTAAGTTCAGGTAGAATTGTGTAAATAAGAACAGAGTATAAGTTTAACTTTTTATCTAAGTATTTTTGTGCTCTAATGTTGATCATATGATTCAGTGGCATAGTGGGCAAGAATATGCTTATTGATTACACAGTAAGTTTCATGGAATCATTGCAAAATATAAAAACATACATGAAAAGAAAGCTTAAGTTAAGAAAGAATCTTGAGGAATCGAGTTGAGTTTCAAAAGGACGAAGCAAACGTTAAATTGCGAAATCACTGGTTAATGGAACTGGGTTCCATCCTATGTAACATATCGAAATTCAGAGCAACATAAAAATGTGGAAGGAACTGCAAATATTGATTCTTCACGAAGTGTTGGTTCAACTCGTCTGAGCCTAAACAAAATTGCATATGGAAAGCGAAAGTAAATGCTAGTACCTACTTTTGGACTGCGTGTTGCATATCCTTCTCCAACAAGGCGTATAAAAGTACACATTTTGTACTTTCATTAACACTGTTATTTGACTTTTTATGTTAATTTCATAACCTGTAAAAATATTACAGTTATTGCAGGCGTATATGACTCCGGTTTATTAATTAAAAAGTATGTTTCCAACCAGAAACATGTTAGGTGCGTCCTGTTAGCCACCTTCCCCGTACGGCAAGAGGGAAGTTGCCCAGTATGTGAATAAACCCCCAGTAGATTTAGGTTGGTTCTTCGTGCTAAGTTTGATCTCTCGACGGTGATGAGACTTGCCATTCTGCTGTAGTCACCAGCATGAGAGACATTTAGCCCCTTGCCCCTGAAGTCATTTTTCACGACCTTCTACTTCGGTCGTATTGCTTGCATAAATTATCATTGTTGGTTCTGTCTAATCTATGCTGTCTAGTAGAGCGTCAGTACCACTGGCACGAATATTGTTTGCTTTTATAATATATAATGCAAGCATCACTTGTTACGATACAATAATTCAATAGTTATCACCATATTCTAATTTTATTATTCTATAAAACTTTTACCAATCTATACGTTGTAAATCGTCGGCTTTGTTTGAAAACCTCATATGGTTCATCCTCATTATTCAGATATTTATGAATTTTGGTACCAAATAAGAGTCTGTGTTTAAATTATATGGAAGTCTACTGCCATCGGTAATGGTACCACTAACAGCGTTTGTAAATCTTTGAATTCACGCGTTGGAAATTAGTTATAAAATACTAAATATTTCCTGAAGATCCACCTTGGCTTTAAAAGTAACCCAATTAATTGTTTCGTAGACCTGTTCTTATGCTACCTAAGATGACATTGTAGAGGTTCGAACTGAGTATTTCCCGAATTCAAAACAAGAGTAATAGCTGCTGTTATACCGTCATGTCTAGTCGTACTACACGGTCCTAGGATTATATACCTTTTGTCGCCAGGAATGTAACAGAAACGAAATAAATATACCTTTGACGGGCGAGTCATATGTTTAACGCAGTTTAAAAAAAGAAGAAAACTTTTTCTACTGATACGTAGATTCTGAGAATTATTGCAGTCATATATTCCACTTATTCTGTCCGCACCACGTGCGAAATTTATGGTGGCTGAATGCAATAGATCACACCCGCTCTCTGAAATATATTGTATAATTAGTTGAATTGAAAATTGATATAGATAGGGTCAATTACGTTTAACATTTTTCTTGCATAGACATTACACTTACCTAGAAAAAGGATTTTGTTGCAGATTTTGTAATAAATAGGTTACTGTCAACTGAACAAAGTTACATTTCGTACAGTTGAATAGTAATTAATATTTATTCAACGTTCTGTGATGATTAAATACTTCATTGCGTGCATCCTTTTGCCAGATTCTGCAAGAAATTTATAACTAAATTGGAATAATTCATTTAAGTCACGGGAATATTGCGAAGTAACAAAATATAAATCACTTGTAAATTATACAGTCAACGTACACGAGCTGGACTTTCCCCGTTCTGCTTGTTCGTTTCATAAAAGATTAAATTTGTATGTAATTTTCATAAATTGATATTTTGCTGAATTGTGTAAATCTCAGGCTATTGCCAACTGAATCTCTTTACTCTACCTCAAGAATCTCTAACTGGAAGTGTTAGAAGTTCACGCAAGGGTAACGTCGCAGGTTCTAATTGTCGGTCACATGATCGAATATATCAACCTATAGATAGTAAACAAGACGAGGAGGGAGACCACCTAATTTAGTCCTGCACCCAAAATCTCGAATGTCTAATCTCTGAAGTTCGAAGTTACCGTTCGTTACGAAATTGTGAACAAAATTAATAAGTGAGCTCACAAAGTCGTTCTAAAGAAAGTGCACCCTAGGGTAGGCGTGGGCAAAGAATTCTGACATCCCAGCGATATTAAAAATTATTAATAGCACAGCACTTTATAATTTTTAATTTCTTACATATAATAGGGTTCTGTGAATTATCTTGTATTATACAGGTGTAACCCGGGTTTCAGAAACCCCATAACACGACCAACCCGACAGTATGACCTTTGTCCATTGATATCCTACCCTAAGAATATGCCCGACCGGTCTTGACGTTACAACCGTTGATTTTGATAAGGGCGAATGAGGGGTCTCGCCAGTTCGTTCCCTTGCACCGTTCTGTAATAAATGTGCATCGCACATGGCCCATACAATTACCACAACTGAGAATAAAGCCCTTCAGCCCTTAAAGTATAACTGAAGTGTTAAAACATACTGAATTTAGCCAGTTAGATAGGAGACTCATGGACTGAAATTAAAAAATCCACAACCATGGTGAAAACTTTGACCGTAATTTGTAACAGACTTTCAAGATGTTAAAGAAACTCCTGAACAGATCACAAAAGACACTCTTGGTATGCGAAGGCAACTTAATTTACAAGTGGACGCAAAATATGTCGACGAATTAATTGCATCTCATTCTGAGGCATCATTGTCCAACGAAGACCTCATGGGGCTTCAGAAGTCCAATACGCCACTGAAAGACGACGAATCAGACGAAGACGTTATGGTTTCTTCGTTACCAGCTAAGGACTTTGGATTGAAAAGCTTTGTTTCGGTTTTGCAGAAAGTGAATGAATTATAAATATGATAGAGCACGAAGAGCCTAATGCAGAAAGGAACTCGAAGGCGTTCAGAGGCGTTGAGGAGAGCTTGGAACAGTACAGAGCGCTGCATGAAGAGAAGGCTCCTGTAAAACCGAATTAGGACAAGTTATCCTCTAAAGTCGAGAAAACATCGCAATAATGAAAAGAACAAAAATCAACTTCTGTATCCTTTGGTAAAGACTGGAAACTGTTTTACTGGGTTCCTATTTTATTAATAATAATTTTTCAGTGATTAATTTTATTATTATATATCTGTCGTTATATTAATTAATCATTACCATTAATAAATTTAAACAATTTTAAAATTCAATCGCATAGCATTTATAGCAATCAGCATTCTCAAATTATTTTTATACAAGCTCTGGAACGTTTCTTAATTTAACACGCAAGTGTGTGCCAATTACATCACGATACAACCACTTAATTGTTGCCGATACAAACAGACTTATGTTGTTCGACCGTAGAGCACGCTTCATTGAAACACAAACAGTGGACTTCCTTGTTCTTTCTTTATTTCATTGTTACAAGCTTTTCTGCGAAAATAATATCAGTGATCAGTTGGACGTTAACGATAATAATGATGTTGTTACAAGCTTTTCTGCGGAAATAATATCAGTGATTCAGTTGGACGTTAACGATAATAATGATTCAGTGTTTTTAGATTACCCCTTTACCTTCAGAATTTTATAAGCGAAGATAAATTTCTATCAGCGTAGCTTGGATTTGATGCATTCATTACTTTTCTTAGTTACTGTTCACGATTCTCGTTTAAAATAAACCCACGTTGGACACTTACTGCATTACGATAACCAATTAATAGTTTCCTTTGAGAAGTTAAGATTTCTTGTTGTGACTTTAATTTGTTGTTTTTTCTTTGTAGAAGCGATTGTTTTGTTCGTGCGCAGTTTTCTTTTACTGTCTCGCGGTTTTACTTTGTTTTTAAGTTGCGCTATATTTCACTCGCTATTGTGTTTTTATCGCGGCACTATGTGGTCATGTATCACTAACAGCAAGTTTTCATACTGCAACGGCCTCTTATATCGATTGTACTTTCTTATTTCAACGCTTGGCGGTTGTGACTTCTTTCAGAAGTAGAGTGCGACCGAAATTCTGTAGTGTCTTCTGTATCTTCACTGTTACATCATTTTTCAGTGACGACGCTTGGTGGCGTTGCGGTTGCAGATGTAGTCCTAATAATACCGCTCAAACACCATAGCGTCTTATATCGCTTGGCTCTCTCTTATTTCAACGCTTGGTGGCCTCTGGTTTCAGAAGTGAAAAGCCTCTGATCTACTACAGTGTCTTGTATCCCTTGACTATTATCTCTAGTTACAATGCTTGGTGGCTTTGTCTTCAGTGGTAATAATGTCGTTCAAAACTACAGTCCCTCGTGTCGCTTAGCGAATCTCTCTTGTTTCCTTTTGTCGCTTAGCGATTCTCTCTTGTTTCATTTTTAGGTCTAATAATGCCGCTCGAATACTCAAGTGTCTTGTCTCGATTGAATGCTCTTTCTCTTTTGTGTCAGTGGTAGAATTAATGTCATCCAAATGTCTTGGATTGTTGGAGTTATGGACCTTGGACATCAGACGATGGACAATGTCTGTATTGTGCCTTGTACTGCCGGATTGTTCTGGATTCTGTCAACTCTTGGCTGCTCTGTCTTGTTTCAGAAGCGATCATGCGGTTCTCGGTGGAACTACGGCTGCCACGTTACGTAAAACTGGGTGACCATGCTGAGCTGTACTGTGATTACAACGTTCGTGAGGACCAGCTACACCGCGTAGAATGGCTGAGGAACGGAAAAAAACTTTTCCAGTATGTGAAAGGACGCACTCCACCGTTCCGGAATTTTACCATACCCGGAGCAGAACTTGACGTGAGTTTTAGTAAAATGATTAGTGGAATATTGTGTCTAATACAAGTTGTGTAATTGGTGGAATATTGTGTCTAATACAAGTTGTTGAATGTGCCTGTTCAACTGAAGTGTTAGACAGCCCAAGGTTATCCAGATATATGTGACCTGTTCAGGTATTTTATTGTATTTCTGTGCAGAATTAGCATACACTCTGTTGCTTCTTTAAAATATGTACGTTACAATATAAATGTAATGATTTTCTACGTAACTTGTCAGCATCATCGTATTTCCATTTCTTCTTCTGACGTATTATTATGCTGTCCGTACAGCATAACTTTCATGATGTGCATACA